CTAATAAAACATTTATATATAAAAAAATCCCTCCCCAACTTTTCCAGGTTTTATATTGGGTGCCGGCACTGCTAGAAGTGGGACAATATTTCTGGGTCCATGAGAAGTTGTGTGACAGGGATCAGCTTTGAGCCTACAAGCGCCTGCCCCATTGGATCTGTTACCCGTTGCTGTCTAGATTACTCAACATCTGAGTAAGCTTGACCAAGCAATATCAGGATATATAAACAGCCTAGGAAGGAAACAGTCATACCCCCCGCTGCAAAAGTTCTCTTCAGTAATGAACTCTTAACACCCAACTGTGAAACATTTGAGAGATCGTGTAGGTGACTGGAGAAGAGGGAGCGATGGTTATAGGGAATGATTTGCTTCTCCAATAACCTGAGAGCTAATAAATTTCTTTTTGCTGCAAAGGATTGCTGAAAATCCTTTGTGCCTTTAAAAATTATACTCACATGCCCGTCAACGGCGCTAACGTTCCAGGGTTTGAGAACCTCGCATTTACAGTGCTGAGTTTTTATTGCTTCAACAGAAATATTAAAGGGTAATCTTCTCTGGTGCAGCAGAACAGATGATTAGCCCCTCGCCTTCATTGGGTATCACAAGTAACACCATCCCTTCCCCTGCAAAGATTCATGCTGATTAGCTGGGGGAACTACTTGTATACTGTTCTGTCATGACCTCTGAAAGATACTTTAATAAGTAACGAGTTAATGAGTTCAATATATTCTCCCAATTTCATTTTGGCTGTAGATGAGTCAATGCAAAGCCCTTTATGGCCCTATCTAGTCTGCTTGCCTGCTTTGATCAACCCTAGGCAAACTTTGGCACAAACCGAGCACCAAAAGGTCTGCAAATAATTAGAAGAACCAGCTAGCTGTTGATATTTTAGCAGCTTTCGCATTTTGTTTGAATATCTGCGAACGAACGGCAGAATTTTAAAAGCAGTGAAATACAAAGACATGCAGATTATGAGGCAGAGTTCCGCGTATATCAAGATGTGTCTGGAAAGAAACTTCTCTCCTAAGCTCTCAGTGTTATGTGCTTGCTTTTTTTGCCCAGGAATTGCTTTCTTTCATTCAGGGTCAATTGTGACACCGTCTGAGCCATGCCTTTGCATGTGTGAAATGGGGAGTGGCATGCAATGTAAAGGGGGAAAGAGATGCCACTTTTGGTCTCCATAGACTAGGGGTCAGCAAACTTTTTCAGCAGGGGGCCGGTCCACTGTCCCTCAGACCTTGTGGGGGGCCGGACTATATTTTTGGGGGGGAAATGAATGAATTTCTATGCCCCACAAATAACCCAGAGATGCATTTTAAATAAAAGGACACATTCTACTCATGTAAAAACACGCTGATTCCCGGACCGTCTGCAGGCCGGATTGAGAAGATGATTGGGCCGCATCCGGCCCCTGGGCCTTAGTTTGCCTACCCATGCTGATGATGGACTTTTCGGAGCTAGCCGACCTGACTGGAAGAGTCCACGACCAGAAGGAGGAGGAGTACCAGGAGGAACGGATGAAATTCAAAGACTGTTTAGTTAAATATGCTAAGATAATTTAAATAGAAACACTTACAAATACCAGATAGGCTTAGGATTTAAATATGTGATGTTATAGAATAATATGTTTAAAGTTAAAATGAAAAGAAAGAAAGACGTTAATTGATTAAGAAAATTTTATGAGAAATTTGTTTTGGAAAACTGTTACAATGATATACATTGAAATTCAGCCAGGGAGATTTGAAGAAGTCACTTAACAATGTTATTAAGAGTGGAATAATTACAGTTAGGATTTATGTTTGTTTGTTTGCTTATAAATTTTGGAAAATCAATAAAAAAAAATTCCCCTCTGGGTTTGCTGGGAGAAAGAACAGCGTGAGGGCAAAGTGGCAAGTTGGGGAAGAATTCAGCATCCACCCCTCATTTTCATGCCCAAATCACAGGCTGTTTTAGTCTACTACCGCCATATGTAGTAGAGGCCCATTGATTGCTTCAAACATTGTTGCCATTTAACCAGAGAACCATCTCCACTTAGTAAAGTGAATATGTAGTCTAATGTATGCAGGACAAGCATCAGTGTTTATCTTTCCACCATGACTATGATGTTTGAGCAGCTGATTCATGCATTGACGCCCCATTCATATATGGGGGAAGGATGGTGCTTGGTGCTGGACTGTGGAATTTGCTAGGACTGTACACCAAAGCCAACCAAAGCCCGGATCCTGACCCTCCAAGTGTCCCTATTTTCCAGGGATCTCCCTGAAATATACTCGGAGTCCTGTAGTGATTTCATGCTCTTTATTGCAGCTTGTAAAACAATGATTGACTTACCCCCCAAAAAACCTCAGGCTTTTATATGCATTATTTACACAATGAGTCCCATCTGATTGGCTGATTCTGCTTCCCTCCTGGAGCCTGATTGGTCTTCTCCTGCAAGCCAATCAGTTGTTGCATTCTAGAATCCTACTTGCCTATTGTTCTAGGATCCAAGGTTAATACATAACACTCCCTGATTTAGAGAAGCAGCCCCGGTTTCTGATTTGTCCCGCTTTTCCTTAGGATGTCCCTATTTTAATTGGAGAAATGTTGGAGGATATGGAGTTATCCAACCCCCGAGCCGTCTGAAGGCTATCCTTTTATAGGGAAGGTTCCCCTCCCCCCCCCCGCCCAGTGTTTAATGTTTTATTATGTTTTATATATGTTGGAAGCTGCCTAAATGGCTCGGGCAACCCAGTAAAATGTGCGGGGTATCAATAGTAAAGTTATTATTATGGAATGGGAAGTCCTTATTTTCATCGGAGAAATCTTAGAGGGTATGAAATTGCCCCACCTGGGCTTTGGATGAATCAGGCTGAGACAGCCCCAGATCTTTCAAGGAAGGAACAGCCCAAAGATGGCAGTATGGAGGGTTTCAAAAGGTCGAGCGTTCAGGTGGGGGGGGGGGGCGTTGCTGACAGAAGGAGAAGCAAGGCCGTTTTTGCAATGTCTGCTTTGCCTCTGCTTCCCCACAGAGAACACACTGACTGGTGTAGCCGCACCCAGTGGGACTAAACTCTCTGCTCATCGTCTGACAAGTGGAAGGTTCAATCCTGCACTCTTCAGAGGTGGGTTTCATTAGCACATCCCCCCCACCAAGAATGCTGGTGAACATATGGTTCAGTCCTGCTCTCTGGAGGGGCCTGCACCAAATAGACACTTTTTAAGCCACCCAAATATATGGATTTCTGCCTCCCTCACCCTTTTAGTAATTACCATATTTTTTGCTCTATAAAACTCACTTTTTCCCTCCTAAAAAGTAAGGGGAAATGTGTGTGTGTCTTATGGAGCGAATGCAGGCTGCGCAGCTATCACAGATGCAAGAACAGCAAGAGGGATTGCTGCTTTTACTGCGCAGCGATCCCTCTTGCTGTTCTGGCTTCTGAGATTCAGAATATTTTTTTCTTTTTTTCCTCCTCCAAAAACTAGGTGTGTCTTGTGGTCTGGTGCGTCTTATAGAGCGAAAAATACGGAATGTAAAAGCGGGAATTTCAGCAGGTACTGCATATCATGTAGGAAAAGCAATGTCTCTTAAAATCCCCTCTGCTACTATAAGGATGGGTTCAGGCCAGGCTCGCAGGATCTATTTTGCTTTTTACTAGGACTCCGAGGCCCACCAAGATGGAGCCTGTTGTGAAAGAAATACAGTTAGAATAAAAGAACCTGGAGCCTGAGGATTTGTTTGGAGTACCACAACTAAACACAACTCACATTCGATCTGCACACTCCTTGTCATACAGTCCACCCCCAGCTTTCTTCGTTTCAGCATGTCATTAAGGGAGGGGGAGTCATTTTGTTGTCAATGTTGGACATTTGGGGAGTAAGAAATCCTTGTTGATCTTCAAGTCTCCCAGAAATCTACCAGTAGATTCTGAGCCACCTTTTGCCCACAGCTGTTCGATAGCAGATCGCCCTCTGTTGAATTCCACTCTGTAATGGACAAGACAAATCTCTTTAGCGAAATAATTGCCATCGCCACGTCTGGGTTCTCCTTGATTTTGAAGCCAGAGGCACTTCAGCGCTATGAAATTGCCCGATAGTGTATATGTGCTTTGCTTATTTATATCTGATACAAATGAGATTCCAAAAAGAAGAACGTTGGGTTGTTACGCCCTTCTAGCAGGTAGGTTTCCACAATGCAGTTACTCCAGCAGCAACTGGAAACTGTTTTATACTTTGAATGCCAGTGAAAAATATTATGGGTTAGCATCTCCCTTGGCTTCTTCCCTAACACAAGTGAGTTGTCCCCCGGAATCCAAACATATATTCTCCTCCTTAAATTTGTCATGCTTCTCTGTGATACTGTTGATCTCTTGAGAGGCAGTAGGTTGCCCTGTCTATTACTTAAATTCATTTTTTCCTGTGGGAAATCATAAAATAAATAAATGATAAAATAAATAAATAAGTGTGCCTATAATACCTTGCTCATGTTTGGAGTCAATTAAAGCTGATTTTTGTTTGTTCTTGTTTTTAATAACCATTTTGATTGCTCCCAGTGCAAGAAGGTTTTCATATTTAAGACTGCAATCCTGCACACCTGGGGGGTGAGTCACATTAAATGTAAGGAGGCTTACTTCTGAGTAAGATTGCACTGCAAACTACTGAATGAGCTTCACCGTAATCACTCTAAGCGTATTTGGGGTGGGAGGTGCAGAATCTTCATTTCGTATTTCGAAACAAATGTATAAGTCACCATGAGGCAAGGAATGTTTTGTTTATTCCAGGATTAATCACTGTAGCAGAATGTTCACATTCACTTCACAAAAGAAAATAACCGAACCATCCTCACATATGTTAAATCAGAAATCAGTTCCGTGTCCAACGCTGCTCTAATTAAATAAAATGGGGGTAGACTTTGAACCCCCTGAAACCATATGCAAAAAGCAGCTATTTTAGTAAGATATGTCATATCCAAGATTTCCACACCAAAATTTAACATCAGTATCACCTTTGCATTGAAAATTGGGCATAGAACCGAAAGGTGAAAATGCTTAGCTGCTGCTGAGGCACTCATTCTATTCACCAGAGATTTGTCAGAATTAAATTTGAAATGGATTCTCATAACCATTGAAAAATGCTTTTCATGTTGATATCTGGACAGATTGCCTCTTAACGCCCGTAGCAATTTTTTTGGTATATATAACGTGCTCCTTTGGAAAATTAACAGTGTATGAAAGATGTGAGGGTATTTTCCTTCTGCAGTGATTGTGACACACATCAACAATTCTGGCGATCAGACGACAGAGGGATGAATGAAATACTTTTTAATATGTCTACAACCGAGTGGTAAGAAACTATAGGAGAAAGATAGTATTTTTTTTCTGGAAAATTCTGCATATGTTTATATAATATATATTGCATTGTATAGTTTTACAGACAAATTTACATCAAATACATATGTTTTCTTTTAAAACACTGATTCGAAAAGGATGATAATTTCCCCCCCCACCCTGTACAGAAATGGGACTTGATTTTCATTTCTTTTAAGCATAGTTTGAAGCTCTCTAAGAAGAGTACTCATATTCTTCGGCACTCCGGCGTCCAAAATCCATCCATCCCATGTAGTCTCTGTCTCTTATTCTGTGCGTCGGGTCAAAACTCTGCAATCCCATCACAGAGACCTTTCCAGAAGCACCTTGGGGAAAACAAGAAAATAAAGAGTGAAAGGGGAGTACATGCTCACTATCGAAATAATAGAAGCACATACACTCTACCAACAAAAGAGTCTTGTAACCAGAAGTGGGCGTCATTACTATTCTAAGAGAATGAGGGAGGTCTTCGTGGTAGGTTCTGACATCTCTTTCCCCAGAAAAATAGTCCCCCTCATCTTCCTCCTCTCTATACAGTGGAATCTTGGTTTTCTAGCATCTCGGAAGCTGAACGATTCGGAATCCGAATGCTGAAAACCCGGAAGTAATTGCTTCTGTTTTCGAACGCACCTCAGAAGCTGAATGGCTTCCAAGGCGCATTTCTCAATTCCCCCCACTGAACTTGCTGGCAGCCCTTTGCGCCTCGGTTGTCAAATGTTTCGGAAGTCGAACGGTCTTCCGGAACAGATGACGTTCAACAACCGAGGTTCCACTGTATATGCAGGGACTATGGGGTGGTGCCTTAACCACATACAAAACTGGGCTGAGGTCAAAGGAACACGTCGAGTATACAAAGTCACAGCTAGCTCTGTATTAGAATAATAGAATCATAGAGGTAGAAGGGACCATAAGTATCATCTCGTCCAATCCCCTGCACTGCAGGAATCCTTCACCCAACGTGGGACTCGAACACACAACCCAGAGATTAAGAGTCTCACGCTCTACCAACAGAGGTAGCCCTTGGCTGGCTGTCTACACTGCCCAGGAGTTTCTTGCCTGGGTTCCAGACAAGTTTCTGGTGATGCCATGAACGAAGCCTTCTACATCCAAAGTATTCACTCCAACATTGATCTATGGCCTTTACTCATCAGAGCTATCGAGCCCCTGGATGTGGGAGCATACTGGTCTATCCCATGCCAGATGATGCTCTGTTGGCAAAGCACCACAACCAAGATGCTAATTACTATCTGTAGCCATGCAGGCAATACACATATCTGGTCAAGAGGGAAGGAGCAGATTTAGTTTAGTTTTTAGTTTAGTTTAGTTTAGTTTAGTTTAGTTTAGTTAGGGCCAGTGTTGTAGAAGCATCTCTGTGCGGAATGTAGAACAGTTTTGCAAAATAAGGATAAGACGCAGGCTGCCTAACCCACTTGGACATTGGATGTTGCCTGTTGCATCCCCTAAATTGTGTGCCTGGTCCAAGCCCTCTTTACACTGGGAGGTTGGTTGCCACACTCTGGAACAGCACAGCTCTGAGGACTGAGGCTCACTTGCTCAATGAGAGCCAGACAACTGCTCAAGTCCAGGGCTGCGCTGTTGTCAAAGCTCCTCCTTCTCCCCGTACTGTGTGAAGCCCTGGAGGTTTGTCCTGAACACAGGGCTCGCTTGCCACATTTTGAAGCAAGTGAATTAATACACACACAGCCATTAAGTCCTGAGTCTAGAATTACCTAATGGCACCGCAGAATCGGGGAAAGCCCCGAGGTATTTTCCAGGCAGTTTAAGCACCATCTGCCGGGCAGTGGTTTCCAGAGGGAGTTATCTGAAGAAGAAGGAAGGACAGAGCCTTCCAGACAAGGGGAAGGCAAGTTGATCTGCTCCACAAGGTAGGGGTAGACACCTCATGCCCAGACAGAGGTCTTCTCTGACCTTTCATCACCCCCAGCCACCCTTCTCTGGGCTACCTCTTAGCTGCCATATTATCCCCTTCCCATATTCTCTGCTTCCTGCCAGAGACAGTCCTACCATTAGGCAAAGTGGGGCGACTGCCTCAGGTGGCAAAAGTTAGAGGGACCATTCCCCTTTGCTGGAGAACAGAGCTGCTTTTGCCGCACGGCCCATTTCCAACTGCTAGTCCAGTCAGCTACTGAATGCAGAACGAGGAGGGGGCACCATCTCATCCTTCAACTCAGGTGGGAAAATATCTTGGGCTGGCCCTGTTCCCTGCTTACATAACAGCCTGCTTGTTCTCTGCCTTATCAGCTGGATAGCTCAGTTGGTTAGAGCACGGTGTTGATAACACCAAGGTTGCAGGTTTGATCCCCTTATGGGACAGCTGCCTATTCCTGCATTGCAGCGGGTTGGACTAGATGATCCTCAGGGTCTCTTCCTACAATTCTAGAATTCTAGTTTGCCTTTGTTAGGATGAATGTTGCAACAGCAAATGAAACTTCAAGAGAGTCATTTGGACTCAGATGATGTCTCTGATTTGTACTCCGTTGGCATGAAGGGAAATAACCCTGCCCTATTGCCTCTCTCTAGAATTTGATCTTTAGAGATAGACTGCTACTGCACAAGGAGGTTCTATTTTGCTGGTCGGAAGGGCTTGCATTGGCGGAGCAGAGAAGAGTCAGATTGACACTTTCTGCAGGTGAAACTGAGCAAGGGTGTGATAAGGCTTGTCGGAGTAGGTGAAACATGTACACCCCTCTTTTAAAGGCACCAGCCACTCTTGTATGCATTGAATAATTGACCTGTTTAATCAACAAGAGCCCTTTCCACTGGCTGGACTAACAAGATGCAACCTGGGCTTTGCAAAAAAATAATCATGGTAGGAGAGGTCACCCTGCCTTCCATTTGGAGCTATTCACATGTTGAATTTTACAGGGGTATTTCTTTGACATAGTACACTTGGGTAGAAAAATGATTCAAAAGATACCTCTTCGGGCTTGCTGGAGATATTTGGCCAGCAGAGCTCCCAGGTTAGCCTTTGGGTCAACGTTGCCGTCCAGCTGCTGGATAGATTTCCCAGAGCCTGGAGTACGGACATGCCGGTAGTTTTCCAGCAAGCTCTTCTCGAGATCAGTAGCCACAGGATTGGCATTGTGGGATCCTGAAGTCTGCTGCCCCAAGGAGCTTGTGGACAGTGCAGCCAGGAGCAGGCAGATGCAGACCCCACTGTACATAGCTAGGGAAGAAAAGGGAGAAGAGGTTGTCAAGGGTGCTAAAAGGCTCCTTCACACGCAAACCCCCCCCCATAGTCTACTTCCAAACCAACAAATATTCTGGCAGCTCAATTAGACAAGGAAGAGATGCAGTTAACTGCCCATGGGGACTAAAGACCATAGAGATCTATGCCCTTGGTTGATTATAGCTTGAGCAAAGATCATCAGTTAATCACTGGGTGGGGGACCAACTGCTTTGACCAGCTGAAACCATTCCTTGCTTTCCCTTTTGCAGTGCTGGCAGGGGAAAGCACTTTCCCCTCTTTTGAAAGCGAGACATTCTGCTTTGGAAAGGCAACGAAATATTTAATATATTAGCGTGGTTCTGGTTGCTCCAAGTCACTGAATATCATCTCTACATCTTAGGGAAAAAATACAAAGAGGTGTTGACTTCCTTCCTGGATAATGTGAATGCATGGATCTACACCACAAGATTACACTTTCTGTACCCTGCCTTAATTTATCTGGAGTAAATGTATACTCGCTGTTCCAGTTCCAGGTTTGCACTCTGGTAAGTAGAAAACTAGAAAAGCCAAATTCACCTATGAGAAAGAGAACTTTTATTCAGCATCCTGGCTGTGAATCGGGCAGAGTAACTGAGGCTGCAATACCATATGTAAGTCTCACTGAGTTCATCAGGACCTGTTTCTTAGTAGACATGCATAAGATTTCAGAATAAAAGGTATTGGTTGCTATTAAAGCAGTCTTAGCTATGTGTCCCTTCCGAATACATGTGTGTGAAATACACAACTAATGCTTTTGCTGTGCGTGCGTGCGTGTGAGTGAGTGAGGATACTTTGAGGGAGTGAAGTAGACACGTCTGAAGATATTTTTTGTGAGAGGGTAAGAAATGTAAAGTGAACACTTGCTTTTGTGCAGAGCCCACAACTTGACAGATCTATTAAATTCACATGCATTATAGGTTTCAATACGACACCTGTTTCACATACATCTGAGAAATCAGAATATGGTACACCTAAAAATAAGTCCCATTTGTTTGGGTTTAACCCAGCAAGAAAACATAAATGCTTGCATTGGGCTGGAATGTGTCAAGATGTCTCTTACATGCTAAAATCACCAAGCTCCTTAAACTTAAAAAGAAATTACAGCCCCAAAATCATTCAGCAGAGACTCTTCTGCAGTCATGATAAAAAGGTAGCAGTGCCAACACCCAATCTCCAAGTAACAAATTGCAAGTGAGATACGAAAAAAGAAAATAAAGAAAAAGTGTTACTTAAATAACCCAGCTGCTAATATTATGGTGTAGAGACTAAAATTCAAATTATACAACCTTTCCAGCACCCCACCCATAACACATATGCCACTAAAATCCTATGCACACTTACCTGGAAGTTTAATTGAATTAAATGTGGCTTATTTCTGAAGAGTAATCATTATAGGATTCACTGCATGTAGAAATGTCATTCAGATCTTTTAAAAGACACCTGAATTCTGTCTGATAAATTTTGGGTTTGGGTTTTCAAAGAGATTTCACAGCCTGCTCCATATAAAAAGTTACTGTAACATTGCCTCTTGGTTTAGCACAGGCACCACCACCCAGCAGGAGCTGTAACTGAAAACAGCAACAGCCTGAAAACTCGGTTTTGTTGCCCAAGATGCTTCCTCAAAATGCAGTGAATTAACCCTGTACATGTTTAGTAAAAGGTTAAGAAAGGCAGAGAGGAACAGTTTTTAAACTCAAAGTGCCTGTGAAGCTGCCTGCAACAGTTTGGAAGACCATCGCTGATTTAATTCTTACAGTTTCTAAGAAAAACTCAGCGCAGTCTGAGAAACCCTTTAGTACAAAAAAAATAATGAAGCGAAGAAGCCAGCCACTAGCTGTTTCCTTCCCCCCCACACTCTAAAGGCAGTTTCTCAGTGAAATCATCATCTCCTACCTTCTAAATGAGGTGCAGGTTGCAGCTGTGCACGAGAGAACAGAGGCAGGCTCGAGGTTGTAGCTGAGCCCTTCAATGCTGCTCCTTAAATAGTCTGGTTGAGTGTCATCTGTTTGCACAGCTCTGACGCAAGGATGGGAGCACCACACACTCCAATGTATGGGTGGAGGAAAGGCACTTGTATTAGGGTTGGGGGGTGGGAGAAGTTGCCAAACAAAAGGGTTCGGCTGTGCCTCTGCAGCAAGCAGGGCTTTGCTTCCCTGACATATACTTCTGCCCAGCAATGTTGCAGGGACTTTGACTATGTATTGAGAGAAGAAATGAGAACGACGTTAATTCAGGGGCACTGTTGGAGTGACTTTAATGCACAGCTGTGGTGACGGCAACTAGAATTAATGAAGCTATCTTGATTAGGCATCCAAGTCTTTTCACAGGTACACAGCCAAAGCAACTGAGCACAATCCTTAATTTTGTATGGCTGTGATCCTATGCACATTCACTTGGGAATAAGTCTAAAAGGACGCAGGGGAACTTACTTCTGAGCAAATATGCATAGGGTATGGGTTAAGGTTAGGTTTAAAAGTGATAGTTTTAGCATTTTTATTGCTTTAAATCCTATGGTGCCTCCCATCTCTCTCTCCTGAATATGTTGACCAGCCTGTAATCTTAAACAGATTCACTTGGGTGCACAGTCTAACACTGGAAGAGGTAACATGGTGCCTTCCCTGGGTACTACAATTCCCATCAGCCCCAGACAGCATAGCCAGTGGTCAGGGATGATGGGAACTGTAATTTGTAACATCTGGAGCTCACTATGTTGACAGCCCCTGGACTATCAAAACCAAACAAATGATTTGGGGGTCAGTTGAACTATAAGAGCAAGGAATAGCCAATGTGATGTCCTCTCAATGTTGTTGACCCCTGACCATTGGACATTTCTGAGGCTGATAGAAGTTACAACTCAACAACATTTGTAGAGGACCATATTGGCTACCCTTGCTGCAAGCTGTACCAAATTCATTGGAACTTCCCAAAGAAATGTGATAGCTGCTGTTTTTTTGTTTTTTTTATTCTCTAATAATATAGGGTGGGTTGTTCTTTTGGCTTTTTTGAGAAGCTAAAAGAGTTCTGCTTTGTAAAGCTGAACATTGTGCCTTTTTTGTAAACTGGTCAGAGGTTTTCTTACAATCAAGTGATATATAAAAAGGTAAAGGTAAAGGACCCCTGACAGTTAAGTCCAGTCGTGAACGACTCTGGGGTTGCAGTGCTCATCTCACTTGACTGGCCGAGGGAGCTGACGTTTGTCCGCAGTTTTTCTGGGTCATGTGGCCAGCATAACTAAGCCACTTCTGGCGAAACCAGAGCAGCGCACGGAAATGCCGTTTTCCTTCCTGCCGGAGTGGTACCTATTTATCTACTTGCACTTTGACGTGCTTTCGAACTGTTAGGTTGGCAGGAGCTGGGACCGAGCAACAGGAGCTCACCCCGTTGCGGGGATTCGAACCGCCAACCTTCTGATCGGCAAGCCCTAGGGTCTGTGGTTCAGACTACAGTGCCACCCATGTGATATATACGTTATGTTAAATATATAAATTAAATGCCTGATGGCCTAGCACCATTTGGGGTTTGATGGGTAACCTGTGTGCCAGTTTGAGCTGATGAATATTAACACATATTGTCTGCCACTCACCCTCCTACTAGTATATATGGAACTGATCCATTGTAGTCTATGATTTGGAATCCAGAGTAAGATAGCCATAATTTAATCCAAGCCACATTGAATTCAGGGGGAATTAAACTTAGTCTGGATCCAATGGTAAGCGACTACTCAGGAGACAAATGGTTTCTGATTGTATCTGCTGCATGAGAAGTTTAATAATAATTACCTAAGAAAGTATTGATGCCAACTGGACTGATTCATTTCTCCTCCTCCCTTGGCAGCCTAAAAATGTATACAGATGTGCAGAGGTGGATTTAGGGGACAAGTTACTGGTTCGGTTGCAGTGGGAATGTAAGAGACAGGTGGTACTGAATTTTGCAATCAAACAGGATGCATGCTGCTGAAATCTGAGTCTCCAAGATCTGCCACTGAGACGTGGTCTTCCTTATTGTAATGTTGTGGAAGGAAGCCCACTGCAATCAATGGTTAACAAAAAGAATGGAACGCTTCCAGGTGAGCACCGGTTGTTTCCTGATTCCTTTCAAAAACCCTTTCCACTTTTTTATTATTTAAAAAATGAAATAAAATTCCAGACAGTGAAGTATGGGAAGCTGTGAGTAATAAATAGACTCTTCACTTATCAGGAAGGGATCTCAGAAGGGGAGGGGGCAAATAAAGGATGACAGCCCCCCACCGCAAGACATAGCGTCATAGAATTATAGAGTTGAAAAGCACCCTGGGGATCATCTATTCCAACCCAATGCAATGCAGGAATCCTGCCCACAGCCATCCCTGGGTGAGCTCGAACTACTAGCCCTATGACGAATAGTTGAAGGAGCTGGGTATGTTTAGCCTAGAAAAGAGGAGACTGAGAGGAGATATGATAGTTATCTTCAAATATCTCAAGGGCTGTCACATGGAAGAGGGAACACGCTTGTTCTCTCCTGCTCTGGAGGGTAGGACTCGAACTAATGGTTTCGTTACAAGAAAGCAGATTCCGACTAAACATCAGGGAAAGCTCCCTGACAGTAAGAGCTGTTTGACAGTGGAAGAGACTCCCTCCGGAGATTGTGGACTCTCCTTCCTTGGAGGTTTTTAAGCAGAGGTTGGGTGGCTACCTGTCATGTATGATCTAGTTGAGATTCCTGCATTGCAGGGGGTGGACTAGATGAACCTTGGGGTCCCAATTCTATGATTTTATGGTAGTCCACCAATAATAATAAGCATAATAAGCAGAAAGCAGAAATGAGCAAGGAGGACAACGCCAATAATCTTTGGCTAGGACAAGGTACTGTAGTAGTAGTAATAAATATGTCAAAGAGAAAAACAACTACCAGACTTTTAGAAGACATCTGAAGGCAGCCCTGTTTAGGGAAGCTTTTAATATTTGATGGACTCTTGTATTTTAATATTCTGTTGGAAGCCGCCCAGAGTGGCTGGGGAAACCCAGCCAGATGGGCGGGGTATAAAAATTATTATTATTATTATTATTATTATTATTATTATTAAAAACTTGGCCGTCTCCTCGCCACCCTTTGCCCACGGCGGAGCTCTCCAGGGTGCTGAACCAGTCCGAGCCAAGTCCTGACTTTCAGCTTTTAGGCTTCCCCGCCGTCCGGATCGTGCAACTTTTCCGGGTCCACGTCGGAGGGGAGAGGGATTCTGGGGTGCATTGGGAGCGGCTTCCCTTCGTCCGCCGGGTTTCAGACCCGGCTCTTCCGGGGCTAAGAGGGGTGAAACCTGGGACCGGCGGCCGGACACCCCCTTCGTCGGAGCTAGGGCTCTTTTCTCCATGAGGACTGCTTGGAAGCTCGCTAGAGCCCCGAGGTGCCTGGACGGGGCTTTGACCCGTCGCTTTGAAAAAAGAAAAGAGAGAAATGCAAACACAGCCGCGCGGCTGAAACCTCGCCTCCTTCCCGGGCGGGTTCAGGGCGCTAAGAAGCGAGCAAACAGTCCCGGGGCCGGGCGCCCGCCCATTGATCCGCCCTGGCGCCGCCGCCGGACCAAGGGATCTCGCAGCGAGGCATCGATCCCAGCGCTGGATTCCCGTCCGTCTGTCGGGGGAGGTCGAAGGGGGAAGCGGTTCTGCAGCCTGGAAACGCAGCGCCGCAAAAAGGGAGACTCCGGAGTGCCCTGGGCTCACATCTCCAGAAAACAAAACCCCTCCCTCTGGTCCTCTCCAAGAAAAAATACCCGCTTACCTTCTCCTTCTGCCCCGGATAGGTGTGGGGAGTCTCGCTGAACTCGCCCGGTTGTCCCTTTGTGTTTCGAACTTTTCTTTTACCCAGGATGTTGCTTGGCGCAGCTCCTTCACCCCCTGCGCTCGCCAAGTGCCCAGAGGCTCCAGAGCGATTTTGGCTGCCAGTGCAGACGCTGCGCTTTCCTCCAGAGTATCTATGCGGGAGGGGGCTGCGGGGTAGAGGCGAGACGCTGCGGAGTGAGGGAGAACTTGGGGGGGAGGGGGACAGCGGGGCCTCTTCTAGTCCTTCCACTAATTAATTAATTAGTTAATTACCTTTATATCTGCCAAGGAGCTCAAGGTGGCCGGCAGGTGTGCCAACTTCAATAAAATATGGGGGAGTAAGCCCCACCCCACATAATCCATCACAGGATACTGCGCATGCGCACCATTTGAATGGCAATGTCCATTCAATAACCCTCAGTTATGGGGGGCCCATAATAACCCTCAAATATTTTATCGGGGGGCCCTGAAGGGACCTCAGCCCCTATGAGTTGGCTCCTATGGTGGCTCGCATGGTGCCCCTCCCCCTCCCCGTTTCATCTTCACAACAACCCCATGAGGTAGCTTAGTCTGAGAGACCGAGGCTGGCCCAAGGTCACCCAGTGATCTCCGTGGCTCAATGGGGATTGGCATCCTGGTCCCCCAGGTCCAACACTCTAACCACTGCACCATCTTATCTATTTCTGCTACACCGCACTCATTTCAGAGGTGAATTTATGAATGTGTCCGCAATTTGCCCACCCCAAGGGCAGCTGCCAAACAATGACAAACAATGGAAGGCAAGAGGCAGGTGTCACTGAATTTTGGCGCTGCGCAGGATGCTGCTGAAGTTTTAAAGCCCAGAGTCTGCCACTGCTGATTTAGTTCTCCATTTATTTATTACATTTATATTCCACCTTCCCTCCAAGGATCTCAGGGTGCTGTACATAATTCTCCTTCTGCTTCCTCCCCATCTTATCCTTACAACAACAATCCTGTGCGGGGCGTGAGTGACTGGCCCAAGGTCCCACCCAGTGAGCTTCATGGCTGAGGGGGCATTTGAACCCAGGTCCCAGTCCAGCAGTCTAACTGCTACACCACACTGGCATCTTTGCATCTTAGGTGTGGGTGCTGGAAAGCTACTCTGGTAACATGATGTATGCCTAGAAGCAGTATAGGCTGCTCCATTGGGGGTGGGGCCACTGCCCCCAAAACCTCAGTCTGCCCTCAGAGAGCCCCCACCTGCCTGCCTGCTTACTTACAACCAATGAAGGCGTAGCACAGCCCTGTCATTGACTGTAGGGCCTGTCGGAATTCCGTACGACTGAGCTGCTCCTCCAGTCGAGTCCTCCAGAATCTCCTCCGATGTTGATTAACGACCTGAGCCTTTGATGAGGCTCCAGGCACGTTCCCATTACGCAGAGTATACAAGCAGCAGCAGAAGGACGAGAAATATGAGCTACATCGCTAAGAGTTTTATTTCTAACTATGCAGACAGAAAAGAATATACATCCTCTCTCTGTGAGAGCAGAGAGGCAACTGGTACAAAGAAACAGGAAACCAGTAATATCAACATCCATCTCCCGTCTCCCATGAGACTTCCAACAGTCTGGAATCTCTGGAATGTAAACAGAGTCTTGTGACTCCAAGCACTGCACAGTGGCAAAACAGAAACCTAACAGTGCCACCTACTGGTGCTCTCCCTGCCTTCTGCCTCATCAGTCCCCAACGGGCACCAGACACCACTGCCTAGAACAGGGATTTTTACCTGTGGTTTATGGACAACTCGAGGGTCCATGGATGGTCTTCAGGTGGCCTGTGAACTAGGTGCAAAAGAAATGTTGCAATCAAATAAATGCTGTTTATGCATTTCTGCCCCCTGGGGAGGGGGTCCATAGCTTTTATCAGATTCTCGAAGCAGTCTATGACCCAAAAAAGGTAAAGAACCACTAGCCTAGAAGGTTCAAAATCTACAGTAGGAAAACAATATACGGAGGTCCAGGAACTGACATTGTAATGAAGATAGGATATGGTAATCTACTGTGATCATACATGCATACTGTTAACTGGATAGGATTCAAGGGGGGGGGGGACTTTTGCAGAGTAGATCTGGTTCCCATTCCTTTGCCAGTACCCATAGGTTTGCCAATGTTTGTCTCTTTATGGCACCGCACCACTTTGTTGAGTGCAACCCGAGTTGTAGAGCTTGCTACTGTTTTGTGTTACTAATGTTGGCTTTGACTGTCCAATCAAAAATTGAGGAGAGGTCCCAGAAGAAGGGCACTCAGTTTCACTACTAGAAAAACAACGATTCCTTGGGATATAACCATTTCAAAATGGTGATGAGAATTATATTTTTAAAAAATCAGGAAACATCCCATATTAAGTTGAACATGGCATTAAATAGGTACAGTGGTACCTTGGGTTACAGGCACTTCAGGTTACAGACGCTTCAGGTTACAGACTCCGCTAACCTCGGGTTAAGAACTTTGCTTCAGGATGAGAACAGAAATCGTGCGGTGGCTGCGTGGCAGCAGCAGGAGGCCCCATTAGCTAAAGTGGTACCTCAGGTTAAGAACAGTTTCAGGTTAAGAACGGACCTCTGGAACGAATTAAGTTCTTAACCCGAGGTACCACTGTACACAAATGATAAGGTATCGAGCGTCCTCTGTTCGTGGGTAAGACAAAGCCTATCACTTGACAAAAGACAACCTATGTTTTTTAAATTCAGTAGTAGAAACTTCCAAGTTCATTTATGGCTTGTTCATACGCCCTGAAGTTCACAATCGCCCCCTCTACATAATTCCGTGCAATCTGCCCACCTTTCTGTTCATGAATTTTCTTTCACACTCTCTTCAAATGCAACCTAGAATGAGACCCCACCTTCTGGAAAGCTTTGGCCCCTCACATATGTATAAGTGAGTACCGTATTTTTCACTCTCTAGGATGCACCCGACCATAAGACTCACCTAGTTTTAGATGAGGAGAATAAGAAAATAAATATTCTCTCCCTCTCTGTGCAGTGCCTCTCCAGCGAAGCGAAGCCAGGAGAGCAAGAGGGATCAATGCGCACCGATCCCTCTTGCTCTCCTGGCTTCAGCAAAAGCTGCACAGACTGCATTCGCTCCATAAGACGCACACACATTTCTCCTTGCCTTTTAGGAGGGTAAAAATGTGTCTTATAGAGCGAAAAATATGGTAATTATGTTCATCATGTTTAAGTATTCATTTTGCACCTTGGGAGCCGGTGAGCTCAACCTTGAGCAGTTTGCACCAAGTTCTTTAGGTCAACATTGGCGCATGATAGGGCCTGCTACATAGTAGAAACCAATTTCTGTGGTAGAAGCTGATATTTGTTTTAACTTTAGCATTGTTTCCGGCATTCATTGAGCTACACTTGGGGAGTGGGTGGGAGGAGAACAAGGCTGTGACTGAAATGGGAGCCAAACTGATCACCAGGGTGTGTAGCATGTAAAATGTTGGAGTAGCATTGAGGAGGCCCACCAAGTTCATCAGATGACCTTGGTTCAATTACCATCAACCAGTTTAACCTATTTTAGAGTGATGCTATGAGAATAAAAGGGCGGAATTATGCATGAGCTCCTTTGAGGAAGAACAGGATGCAATTGTAATAAATAAATAATATTGTCATATGGGTAAATGTAAACTCCAAGGCATACATATTCAAGCTTTAAAGCATTCACCACCTTCTGAAGGCATAATATCAAAGAACCGGTGTCCTGTTTTTACAGATGATGGACTGTATTGCTTGCAGCAATTTGGCACTTTATTCCTGTAGTTTACATATTTTATCATTTTCTGTTATGTTCATGCTTAATAAAAAGATCTAGGGAAACCTAGTGAGTTAATTTTCATCATTAGTAAACATCAAATCATCCCTAATTTCTTAATATGTATGAGGGATATTCACCAGATTCCCTAGGCTGCTGTGTAAGAATTGCTATATTGGTTTAATACCTAACAAAGGGAGACAAAATGAAATGAATACCATGTCTTTATTATAATTTAATAATTTATTCAGTTAATTTATATAGTCTTATCGGGCTGTTTAATGAACAAATAGAATGCAAAGGATTGCTTCAGTAAACAATTAACAGCAATAAAAAATAGCTACATCCATATGATCACATCTGTAAGCAAATCCTGCATGGAAATTTAACAAAATGACTTTAACAACACAGTCCTATGCATATCTACTCAAATGCGTGTTCCAATGAATTTGGTATGACTTACTCCAAGGTCTAGGATGGCAGTCTAAATCTTATACATGAACCTGTGAGAGATTAAAACATGTCAGTATTTAGCACAGCCTGTCAGATATATCTGGTAGGGTTGTCTATACAATGGCACACACAAAAAGGATCCATGAATACTATAAGGTACTATGAGGTTCTTTTCAAGTAGGAAAATTCTATTTCCTGCTGACATTATAACCCAGAAGAGGATATGCTTTAGAGTCTCCACAAATGTATCTCCTTTTTCAGCAGGCTGCACTATAGATTGTTGTAGCAAAAGAAAAGGCAAATGATAGACAGTGAAAGCTTGTGCTGAATAAAACTTTTTGACAGCTCTTATTGTTGTGTTGTTATGGCCCTGAGAACTTGGATCAGGAGTGAGACACTGAGCTACTGGGATAAAGAACAAGGACAATAGATTTCTTAGCCAACTGAAACAACAGTGAAGAGGTAAGTTATAAGTCATTTCTACAAACTTCTGACTGTCAGATATCAGAAAAAGAGTTCTTCCTTCCTTCTTCCCTTCCATTTTTAGTCAGGTTGCCATAATACTTCTCTCTCACTTTACTTCTGAATTGTCTGGCTGTTAAAAAAAAATCCTCCCATATTCAGTCCTATGGACAGCACAGAACAAGAGATTGAGAGGGAGAGATCCAGTCTGACTACACATCTCCTTTGAACAGCTTATTTGAAGACTCTTGATTTTCTGCCTCGGCAATGCAAATTCTTATTCTTACTTTTTAAATTCATAACAGGGTTGGCATTTTTTAAGATCTGAAGATGTTATGGAATGATCAAGATTGCTGACAGTTCAGTCCAGTCGCGAACGACTCTTGTAATACCGCCGCATTGCTGCGGTAAAAATGAATGTATTGCCTAGAATGTTGTTTTTGTTTCAAACATTGCAAATTGTGGACAAGATGGACTGTTTCAAGAGGTGGCAGAGAGATATTTCTAGATTTGTCTGGCAGGGCAAGAAGCCTAGAATAAAATTTAAAATATTAACAGATGCAAAGGAAAGAGGTGGATTTGCCCTGCCAGACTTTAAACTTTACTATGAATCAGCAGCTTTTTGCTGGTTGAAAGAATGGCTGCTTCTTGAAAACACTGACATTTTGGATCTAGAAGGTTTTAACAATGTATTTGGATGGCATGCATATCTGTGGTATGATAAGGTCAAAGCACATAAAGCATTTAAAAACCATATTGTCAGGAAAGCATTGTTTAATGTCTGGATAAGATACAAGGACTTATTGGAAAATAAAACCCCAAGGTGGTTGTCACCGATGGAAGCAAAAGATTAGGATAAACAAAGAGGGTAAGGATTTGCTGAACCAACAAATTGAACTGGAATACAAAAAAGGGAGGTATGAGGAGGTCCGGGAAACAAGCTAAGGAAAAATAAGTAATGGAAAAATTGAGTGGTTTTTAATCATT